TGCTGGGCTTTCTGTGGGAGCCCTAAGCTGATGGTAACGTGGTTCTTTTTCTTCAGATCCGGAACATGGTTACAGTATTGGAAGTGATCTCCAGTCTGGAGAGATACCCCATCACCAAAGAGGCACTAGAGGTAAGAGCTCAACTTTGGCAGAACGGGAGGTGAGGTAGCCCCCAGCCAGCTTCTTCCTGTGGCTTAGGCTTTTGGAGTCCTTCAGGGGACCCAGTGGGCAGTGTGTCCAGGATGTTGTCTTCGCACAGGACTCTCCAAGAATGAAGGCTTCTAATCTCACAGTTGGATTCATTCCTTCCCATACCCTGCACACCTCATAGCATTTTGGAACATGGCCTGTGCTGAGCTTTAGACAATTGGTTAGTGGCCCTGTCCTTATTTTGGAGACCAGGTCTTAGGCTGTGAAATGTGTTCACCCAGGCACCCTGGTGGAGCAGCGGTGTGGCCTTGATGGCATAGACTCTCCAGATCCCAGGAACCAGTGGACCTACTTTTGAGGAAGCCCCTGGGTCCCAAACCTAAGGATTCATGATGCCACATAGTACTGGACACCCCCAGGATGTATCCAATAAGCTGGCAGTTTGGGGGCTGGTAGGGAAGAGGTAAGCCAGAAAGGGTGAGCTTCCTGGCTCAGCTCCCTGTCCTGCACGTTGTGTAAGCATGCCATTCTCTTGGTTGTAGGAGACACGACTCGGGAAGCTCATCAATGACGTCCGCAAGAAAACCAAGAACGAGGAGCTGGCCAAGCGCGCCAAGAGGCTTCTGCGGAGCTGGCAGAAGCTCATCGAGCCAGTGCACCAGAATGAGGTGGCACTACGGGCACTGGCGGGAGCTGCAGGCTCTGCCAATGGGGGTGCACACAACTGCCGGCCGGAGGTGGGAGTGGCCAGTACACCCAAGAGCATCCATGACCTGAAGAATCGCAATGACATCCAGAGGCTCCCTGGGCAGCGGCTGGACAGGCTGGGCAGCCGTAAGCGTAGAGGGGACCAGCGTGACTTGGGCCACCCGGGACCACCCCACAAAGTTCCCAAAGCCAGTCCTGACCCCCTAGTCCCCAATGCATCCCCTCTCCCCACTAATGGGATCAGTGGGAGCCCACAAAGTTTACCTAGCCCCCTGGATGGCAGTGGGCACTTGGGCCCTGATAGCAGCCGCCTGGAACCCAGTGACAACGAGAAGCACAGTACCAAGATCCCTGTGAACGCCGTGCGGCCGCGCCCCAGCTCCCCTGGCCTGGGCAAGCCCCCCGGGCCCTGCCTGCAGACCAAGGCTGCACATCTGGACAGGGCGGATGAGCCACCAGGCCCTCCCCATCCCAGGGGCACCTCTCGCTGCTCCTTCAGCCCCCGGAACTCACGGCATGAAGGCTCCTTTGCCCGGCAGCGGAGCTCATACATACCCAAGGGCCCTGTGGCCAGCCCCTCCCCACGCCCCCAGCCACTGGACACCACACAGGTGCCATCCCCACTCCCGCCAGCCCAGCCGTCCACACCCCCTGTGCGGCGGATGGAGCTGCTGTCTAGTGCTGAGAGCCCTGTACACTGGCCAGAGCAGCCGGAGGGTCACCCGCGGCTAACAGGGCCAGCCTGCAGGGTTGGGTTGTCACCAGATTCCTCCAAGGCGGACAGTGATGCTGCCTCTTCAGGTGGCTCGGACAGCAAAAAGAAAAAGAGGTACCGACCTCGAGACTACACGGTGAACTTGGATGGGCAGGTGACTGAGGCTGGCGTCAAGCCTGTGCGGTTAAAAGAGCGGAAGCTCACCTTTGACCCCATGACGAGACAGATCAAACCTCTGACCCAGAAAGAGCCCGTGCGGGTCGACAGCCCCGTACCCACAGAGCAGCCACCTAGGACAGAGCAGGACCAGCAGGAGGCCAAGGCCAGCCTCCAGAGTCCTTTTGAGCAGACGAACTGGAAGGAGCTGTCACGCAACGAGATCATCCAGTCCTACCTGAGCCGCCAGAGCAGCTTGCTGTCGTCATCTGGCGCACAGACCCCAGGCGCGCACCACTTTATGGCCGAGTATCTAAAACAGGAGGAGAGCAGTAGGCGAGGGGCCCGGCAGCCCCACGTGCTGCTGCCGCTGCCCACGCCCACTGACCTCCCGGGGCTCACTCGGGAGATCACACAGGACGATCTGGACAGAATCCAGGCCCAGCGGTGGCCAGGGGTGAACGGGTGTGAGGACACACAGGGTAATTGGTATGACTGGACGCAGTGCATATCCCTCGACCCGCACGGTGACGATGGGCGCTTGAACATTCTGCCTTATGTCTGCTTGGACTGAAAACCTGGCCTGGCCATCAAGTGCATTCCCACCTTGCAGGGGGTAGGCTGGCCAGCCAGGAGGGCGGGCAGAGGCTCGCTCTCCACCCTCCTTTTGTGAAATGCTGCTACCAGTTTACTAACGATTGCAAAGGAAGGGCCGCTCGGAGGGCAGATGGCAGAGGGAGTCCAGAACTCTATAGCAAGCCAGGTATAAAGCGTTAGGTCCCCCACCCCAGAAGAGGTGCAGAGCCCCTCTAGCACCGAAGGTGGGGACCTCAGAGGCAGGCAGGTAGGCACAGGAACCCTGTGGGAGAGGTTACCTTAACAGCAACAGACGCACATCTCATCTCTGAGTCTCCTACTCTTTGGCTCTGGCCAGTCTCTGGCCTCTGCCAAGCCAGTGTTTTCTTTTCCCTCGTGTTGTGTGCTAGAAGCTTCTCTGCTGTGGTGACCCTGGTATTGGGAGGTGGGCCAGCCTCACCCACACTGACAGGTGTCCACCCCTTTGTATATGGTTTCAGTTCAACCCCAGTTCTTAAAGAAATGCTGCAGAAACTTCAGTTTTCTTGTTTATTCCATCCTCTCTTCCACCTGACCACCAGCCAAATGACTTTTCCTTTCTTCCCCTTTTCCTCACCACATCTCTAGAAAATGGCATCTTTCTAGAGCCCTCAACCTCACAAAGTTCCCGAGGGTGCTACTGGCGTGAGTTGCCCTGCTGGGCAAGGAGAGCCGTCTGTTAGCTGGAAACACTCATAACCATTCCTTTAGATTCGTTTGCCTTATGGTTGTCATAAACGCAGTTTGCAAAAACAAGGAGCCTTAGTGAATGTACAGTACCTAGACTTCTGCGTCTTCGCAGAAGGGAGCAACTTTGCTATTTGGTCCAGTAAGTGGACACCTTGTGATATAAATGTGGAAATAAAAAAACAAAACATTTGCACAAACCAGTTTTGGAATCATTTTTCATTTGCACTTGCACTTGGCCGTTCCTGGATCCCCCCATGGTGAAGTCCCTGGAGCCCACAGCCACACTCACTGGGCAGCCTTGGTGGCATCCTATTAGCTTGCTTCTGTGGCAACAGTGTCTCTTCTACCTGTCTTTCATTCATTTAAGGCCACCACATCACCTTGGTCACCCACCCAGAGAAGCTCCCTTCTCCAGGCAGTGTAGCTGATGCCACCTTCCCTGGCCACCAGCACTTTCTGACAAGTGTTACCTGGCCCCGGCCCTGGGCTAGCAGCTGCAGGCAGGCCTAAGGTTGCTGCCCTACCTGGCAGTTACCTGCCAGGGTTTCTCCATTACAAAGTAGTGGTGTGGTTTTCTCTCCTTGCCAAAGTCAGCAATTTGAGTTTCCAGTTTTGTTTTTCACTCTTGAGATAGGTCACCTCATCTAAAGCAGCTTAGTTTGAAAGATGAGCAGTTACCCATAAGAGCAGCTGTATGGGGTCAAGTCCTAGAACATTTCCTTCAGGGTTTTAGGACCACAGCCAACCCAGAATCACACTGAGAACCAGTAAGGATTTCCGAGGTTTGGTGCAGGATGGTCCCTCTCCCACTAAAGGGCCATTTGAGGAGGTGGAACCCAACCGTGTGGACCTGAGTCATGTCTTGTGAGATGAAAAGGCTTCCACAAAGTTGCCAGGGCCCAATCCAGTGTGAGAAAGCAACCGGAACGTGTCGGTGTGGCCACTTGACGCTGCTCTGTCCAAAGTCCCAGTAGCTACTTTGCTAATTCCACTGGGAACCAGTGCTGACGAAGCGTTGTGCACCCAGCTGGAGGGCATTAGGTACAGAGGTTGACATTTTTTCAGACGGGGCTTTCGGACAGGCCTCTTACCACTCAGACCCCACTCAGCCAGCCCCAGGAGTTTACACATGATCTACCCACCCCCGGCATTCAGGTGCTCGAGTTAGGCTGACATTTTCTACACTGCTAATAAAGACACTGCAAAGGAGAATGTTAAGATCGGCGAGATGGCTCAGTGGATATACGCTTGTTGCGAAGCCACAGGACATGAGTTTGGTCCCCTGAACCCACACGGTGAAGGCGACAACCCCGCCCCTGCCCCGCCTCCACAAGTGAATACAAGTTTTAAAGGGACCGGAAAACGCTTTCCCACAAGCACTTGAAAGCACACGATCTTCGGAGTCCAGTTCTGTAGTTAGGATCATGGTGCTGAAGTCTTGTCCTGCCTCAGGGCTCCCGCCAGCAGCCTTCAGCGCGGCAGACAAGTGTCCCGGCCCTGGGCTGTGAGGGGAAGGTGACACCTACCGCACAGCTTCCGAGGATCCGGCGTCGTCCAGAGGGTTTGCCACCATCGGCTTCTTTCCCTCTAGAAGATCTTCTGTGAATCCTGTCGGTGCTCCAGCACCCCGCTTCCTCAGCCACAAGTGGGCGGGCCCGCGTCACCCCACACCGCTCACGGAGCCCCGGCCACCGGGGAGCGCGGAAGCCGCTTCGCGCACGCGCCGGGTCCATGGCACGCCTTCCGGGCTCGGCCCCGCCCCCCCTCCGGAAACCTTTCAAGTGGGGTGGGGCTCTTGCCGGAGACGTGGTTGCGGGCACGCGGTGATGACGCAAGGAAGACGGCCAATGGCGAGCGGCGATGACGCGCAGGGCCAGCGACCAATGGTGACCCGCGCCTGCCGGCGCGCCTGCCCGGGTTGTCCCGCCCCCGGCCCGCGTCGGGCGGTCGTCCGGCGGGAAGGGGCGGCCGCTCGGGCAGGATGGCGGCGGCGGCAGCCGCGGGGCCCGGCGCGGGCGCGGGGGTCCCGGGCTCGGGGGGCGGCGGCGGGGCGCGCGAGGGCGCGCGGGTGGCGGCGCTGTGTCTACTGTGGTACGCGCTGAGCGCGGGCGGCAACGTGGTCAACAAGGTGATCCTGAGCGCCTTCCCGTTCCCGGTCACCGTGTCGCTGTGCCACATCCTGGCGCTGTGCGCCGGGCTGCCCCCCTCTGCTGCGCGCCTGGCACGTACCGCCCGCGCCGCCCGTGTCGGGCCCCGGCCCCGGCCCCGGCCCGCACCCGGCATCCGGCCCGCTGCTGCCGCCGCGCTTCTACCCGCGCTACGTGCTGCCGCTCGCCTTCGGCAAGTACTTCGCGTCGGTGTCGGCGCACGTCAGCATCTGGAAGGTGCCGGTGTCCTACGCGCACACCGGTAGGTGCGGGTCCGGGCCGGAGCGCGCCCGCCTGGGGCGTGCTTCCAAGTATGGGTGCGAGGACGGGGCCGTCAGACCGAGGCGCCGCCAGGGCGCGGCGGATTCTCAGGTTGGAAATGTCTGAACGACCGAGCGCCGAGCAGATCTGGCCCCAGCTATCGGGGTCGGGAGGAAGCCTTACAGAAGAGAAGGTCTGGCGCCGGGTGTGCAGGCTGCCGGGACTGCCTGATGAGTGCCTTTCCTCTCTTTGCAGTCAAGGCCACCATGCCCATCTGGGTGGTCCTCCTGTCCCGGATCATCATGAAGGAAAAACAGAGCACAAAGGTAACCCTGGCAGAAGCCCTGGGCAGGGCGGGATTCCCGGTAGTTGGCTGGGTTGATGACGTGGTTGGACCGTGGCATTCCTCTGGCTTCCTGTCAAATAAGGAAGTCAAGGTGTCGGCCTCCTGGGCCTTTCCTGCTGTCCCGCGCTCACCTTTCAGCCAGCAGGTGTGTGTGAAGGGGAGATGTTCCCAGATCATCTCTTGCTTGTTGTCCCCGAGCGCCACAGTCCCCCTGGGTCCACTCTTCCTTTCTGTTTTGATTTCCTCCCCTTTGGTTTGCTGGTAGGTGATGTCTGTTTGGCATCGTTTTGGCAAGTCACCAAGAAACAAATTAAGTTGGGACAGGTTTTCCTTCTCTTCCCCTCCTGCTGCCTCTCTTCCCTGAGTTTGAGGGCAGCCTGGTTCCAGAGCCAGACTGTATAGAGAACCTGTCTCAAAAAAAGAAGAAAAAGGTTGTAGTTCGGCATGGAGCCCTTGCTGGGAACTCAAAGGCCCAGGTTTGACGCCTGTTTTAAACCAAGATTGTGATTATCTGCATGTGGATCACAGACAGCACCCAAGGCTCAGGACTGCCTGGGAAGATGCCAGGCCAGGATGTTTTCCTGGCCCGAGGCTAGGGAGCAAGAACTGGGCTCACTGTGTTCTTCCGTGTGGTGGGGATGCCAGTGTCCCAGCGGGAAAGCATCTCACCCTGTTTTATGAGTGTTTATTTTTTATTATGTCCTATAATTGCTTAGCTCAGAGTGGCTTCCCCCTGGGTCACTGTATAAACAGGGACACCTCTGGCTGTGTGCAGTCGTCCTGGTGTGCCTCCCTTCAGTGTCATGTCAGATGGGACTGACCTCCTGGGGGTCAGGGTTGCTGGGGAGGCAGCCAGGTGTGTCACCTGATAGCACACCTTGTGTTTATCAGTTTTCCTTGTGTGTGTGGGGGGGGTTGTACCTGGCTCAGCAAGATGCTGAGATCCTCACAAGCGCAGTGCCTGGAAATTGGCCCCCTTGGGCAGCTCCCTGCCCTGCAAGGCAGATAACCCTGGATCCCGTTCTCAAGGGAAGATGTGGGGTGCTGAGGGAAATCGGGCCATGGCCAGGAGTGCAGGGGCAGGCATTCCTGTCTCAGTGGCCACTTCCCCTGGGTACAGAACCTTCTTGCACCTTGATTTGTTTTTGGTGTTTTGTTTTGCTTGGGGACGTGAGTACATACAAGTTGAGAGGGTAACTGGAAGGAGTCCTGAAGACCAAACTGAGATCTGGGCACCTTTACCTATTGAGCCAACATCTGGGCTCCTGATTTTTTTTGATACAAAATCTCTCTGGAAATCCACCTGCTTTTTCTTTTCTTTCTTTTTTTTTTCTGGATTTTTTTGTTTTTCAAGACAGGGTTTCTCCAAGTAGTTTTGAAGACCAGCCGGGCCTTGAACTCACAGAGATCTGCCTGCCTCTGCATCCCGAGTGCTGGGATTAAAGGCTGCGCCACCACTGTCCGGCTTCCACCTGGTTTTCTACCTTGTTGGGTTTGTTTGTTTTTTTGAGACAGGATTTGAAAGTAGCCAGGACTAGCCTCAGACTTTTTTCATTTACTCATGTATTTGCCTGTCTGTGTCTATGTCTGTGTCTGTGTGGGGGTCAGGGGTAGCATTTGGGAGAGTCAGTTCCCTTCTTCTACCATGTGATCCTGGGCGTCTGGCTCAGGCTGTCAGGCTCAGTGGCAGGTGCCTTTCTCTTTCAGCCATCTCACCAGCCCCAGACCTGAGACTCATGGTGATCCTCCTGCCTCAGCTTTCTGAGTGCCAGGATGCTGGACATGGCAGCACCATGTGAGGTGCGGGTGGCATTTTCCAGGGTGTAAGATGGCGTCCCCCAGGTGAGGGACAGGGCCACTTGAGGTTTCCTGCAGTTCTGGGTGGTGGGTAGCCCTGGCCCACCTGAGCCCCTCTGCCCTCCTGCAGGTGTACCTGTCGCTGGTCCCCATCATCAGCGGAGTCTTGCTGGCCACTGTCACAGAACTGTCCTTTGACGTGTGGGGGCTGGTCAGCGCCCTGGCAGCCACGCTGTGCTTCTCCCTTCAGAACATCTTCTCTAAAAAGGTGTGTGGGCCTGCCCCTGCTGCTGCCTGAGGGGGCTGGCGTCAAGTAGACTGGGGAGAGCAGACCCTCCTGTGCCTTGTCTGCCCAAGTACCTGTCCCTTCCTTGTTTTGTTTGAAAGCCAACCCTAGCTCTCACCTACCCTGCTAGTGTGTCTTGTTCCTTTTCCCCAAAAGCTGTCTTTATGTACTTGGTGTACGTGCCCAAGGACACCACAGCCGTCAGTCCTCCCTCTGCGTGGCCTGGCATTGAACGCAGGCCACTAGGTTGGTGGCAAGCCTTTACCCACTTACCCATCATGCCAACCCCTCTATATTATTTCCCACTAAATTTGCCATGCCCTGCCCCACCCCATTTTGTTCCACGAGTCCCTGGGAGTTAACTGAAGTTTTCTCCACCAAGTGCTTGCTTAACATACACTTGACACCACAGCCAGCTTCTGTGTGGGTTTGAACTTGGGTCCTCATGCCTGAGCCATCTCCCCAGCCCCTGCTTTTCTTTCAGAGTACTTCGTATGCACAGCATGCTCTTCCTGAGTCGTGTCCACTGGCCCATCTTGAGTGGCAGTGCTCATCCACTGTTACTGTGTGGTGTCACCCTGCTGCAGCGCTCAGGAGTGACTAAGGCTCAGGGCTGCTAGGTGCCACCTTCAGCACAGTGAGCCTCCTTGTGAGGAATGTGGCTTGTTTCCAACTTGTCATAAGAAATACATCTGTGAACCGCTGCAGAGCATGCTGCTAGCCCTTGGGGTGGGCATCCCCCTGTGATAGACTTGAGGTCCATGGTCTGGAGTAGGACCTGTGTCTAGCTTTTGCCTGGCAGTGCTCAACAGGCTAAAGCATCTGGATTCAGTTCAGAGGCTCATCAGCCAGGCATGGTGGTGCTACCTGCCTGTTAAGAGCATTTGTGAGATGAAGGCAGGATTGCCTGAATGCTGGGCCAGCCTAGGCTACAGCTCAAGACAAGAGACGCAGATAAAAACAGTGGGGTGGAGGGGCTTCAGAGTGCCTGCCTGCTTCACCACATCCTGTCTGATGTGCACTGAGCTGGTTCTGTTATTCCTGTGTCAGCCCCTTCTCCACATGACAGAGCACTTTGTTCAGGCATGACCATGTTCCTTCATTAACAAGTAAGCCGCTCTGATACCCAGGGTTGGATGTCGGATTCCAGTCTCATGTTGGGGACTGGAGCCCAGGCCTTGTCGCTGGTCGATTGCCAGTGGCTCTGATGAGGCTCTCTCCCCTCAGGTGTTGAGGGACTCGAGGATTCACCACCTGCGGCTGCTCAACATCCTGGGCTGCCACGCCGTGTTCTTCATGATCCCCACGTGGGTTCTGGTGGACCTCTCCACTTTCCTGGTCAGCAGTGACCTGGTGAGTTGGGGCTGCTGAGAGTGTGTCTTCACTTGCTCGCTAAGCGCGTGCTTTGTTGGGTGCTGTGGCCGCGTGTTGGTCCTGGGACATTTGTTGGGCATCTATCTGCTGGTCTGTTTTTTGTTCCTGTCACAATACCTGAGGCAATCTAGCTTATAGGAATCTTTAGCTCTCAGGTCTGGAGACTGAAGGTCCAAAATGGATTTGGGTTCTTCCACGGGCTCCTGCCACATCCTGTGACTCTGCATGGGAGTGACAGGAGCCTCTGGGAGGGAGCCTGAGAGCCAGGGCTTCACTGACAGACAGAGCGCCTGAGATGATTGATTGGTGTGAGGAGAAGAAGTTTGGCTCAAAGTTTCAGGGTTTCTGTCTGCATGGTTGACCTTGGTGCTGGGGGCCTGTCCTGAGAGACCACAGATGATGTCACTCTGTGAAGACTGCTGGAGCGGCCATCCACAAGGGGTTTGCACTTATATTTGTAGTATTTAAGTGTCCTTAATTCAAAAACCTAAATCCAAATGAACTAAAACTGAAAACCCTGTGAGCAGCTATAGGAACTGGGAAGGAGAGGCTGGCCCTGTTGCAGTCTTAGACACAGCCAAGAGTACACGTTCAAGCACATGCAAGCACACACACTTGTGCATGTGAATACCCACGCACATCTACACTCATGTACTCACGATCTTTCTGACCAGCTGGCAAGGATCCCTGCTGAACGCAGTTAGGTGCGGGGCCTGGTGGAGGCAGTGAGGAACTGGGACATGTCCTTAGTGGGGCCTCTCTTCCTCTCCGCTCTGCTTCCTCAGAGAAGTCACCCCTGCTTCAGGAATCTTGCAAAAGCCAACAGGTTCTGAACTGTATGTCCAGGACTGTGACTCAGGGCTGGCTATGGCCAGAGCAGCGCTTGCCCTGACCCTCTCAAGGCCCAGGCTCCACCCAGCACTACACACAAGACAAGAGGACAATTTCCTCTCATCTCAGCACTCAGGAGATAGAGACAGGAGGGGCAGAAATTCAGAGTCATCCTTGGCTACACAGCAAGTTTGAGGACAGCCTGGGCTATGTGAGACTGTCTCGAGGAAAGAGAGAGTTCTGGATCCTCTGGGCTGAGCCACCTTTCCTGGATGAGTGCAGCTCCCCCGTGACAGATGGCAGAGGCCTCTTACACCCAGTGGAGCCTGTCACAGCAAGCCACCATGGGGAGACGACACCTGTGGGAGCACAGCCCAGTGGGCACATTCTCATGACAGCTCCTGCACCTATGGCTCAAGGACATCTGCCTAGAGGGGACGGGAAGATTGCAGGAGCCAGAGCACCAGGAAGTCCACTGCAAAGCGTTGTCCCTAGGAACGACTGCACAATCAGGACAGGGACAGTGTCATGGACATGCCAGTCTGGAAGGAGGAAATCTCACGGGGCTCACCCCCAGTCAAAGAACTACGGGCAACTAATGACTGCTGGGAGAGGCGTGAGGACCCTCACTGGTTGTGCAGCACAGAGTGGTCAGCTCGGAAACCAGACGTACAGCCCACAAAACAGGCTCGGCAGGCGGTTTCTGTGTGTGTTCACATGTATGTAACAATCATAAATCGAAGGACCGTCAACTTGGGGTGTGAGAGGGGCTGGTGGGAGGAGAGGGATAGGAGAAGAGAAGCAGTTGTATTCCAATTAAGAAGGAAAAGAGAAAAATCGAATGGAAATCTTAGACTGGGAACAACAAAGCCTCCAAGGGAGACTGCCAGACTATGGGATGAGTGTGGGAACAGTTCATAACTTGAAGATGAGTCAGTAGAAATTGTAGTGGCAGGGCCTATAATCCCATCACTGGGTAATGATGCAGCAAGATTGAGAGAGTGTGAGAGCAGCCTAGGCTACATAGTGACATTCTGTATGAGACTATATGTGAATGTTTATATCAACTCTATTTTTACTTGCTACTGGAAACAGCCTTCAACAGATGAAGAAAAGCTGCTATGTTCACAAAATGGAACATTATCTAGCAGTGAAAAATGCCCTCTTGCCTCACAGTCTAGACCAATGGCAGGCTGAATGGAAGAGGCATGGTCTGTTGTGAGTCTGTTTATTACGTGACAGTCTGCTAAAGACACACTACCACTGCGGTTGCCAGGCTGACGGAGGGTGAGTGCTGAGTGGCTGTCTGCCAAGGAGCTGCGCGTCTTCTCGCCTCAGACTGTCCACTATGACCCCAGCACAGAGGTCTATGAAGCTGAAGTCCTTCCTGCCAGGACAGCCCCCACCTACTTCTGCCCAGCCAGTGCCGTGGCGCTCTTGACTTGGGTGTGGCAATTCCCATGCTAGAGGAAGCTTTGTTACTGGAAGAGAAAGTGTATCCAATTTATGTTCCTTGCAGTTTTCCTTCTCTTCCCTTTCGGGGCGTGTGTTTGTGTGTGCGTGTACACGTGTGTCTTCAGTGAAGAACAGTCACCCCTGCATCTCCCTCAGTAGCTCTCCTCGTCTTTTTGAGGTAGGACCTTACTGACTGGCTGCCTGCCAAGCCTCAGGATCCACCCCTTCTGGCCCCGAGCTTCCTGCCTCTAGCAGTGGGCTCTGCATGTGTGCAGCTGTGTGTTCTGTGTTTACATGGGTGAGCTCTGAACTTGAGCACTGACCTGACTGAGCTGTCTGTCTCCCAACCCACCTTTGTTGTGTTTTGGGGCAGAATCTATGTCCTATATTATGTGGGCCAGCATGACTTCAAACTCCTGATCTCCCTGTGTCTAGAGTAGAAAATGTGCCCACCATGCCTGGATTGGAAGCTCATTGTGGTTTGGTTGACTCTGAGGATCACTCTTGTGAGTCTTCCTTCCCTTGGTGGCCAGCTAGCATGCCTGGGGCTGCATCAGTGTCCTAGCTGGACTATTGTGTTCTCCAGTCACCTGTCTGAGGATGGGTGGTGGAGTCTGGGGCTCGGTCACCCATCTCCTTGGGTTTGTCTGGTTTGATGATGCTGAAACCCATGACTTCATACATGCTCTGCCACCAAGCTGTATCTGTGCTCCAACTTTACGGAATGTCTTGAAGGCGGGGGAGCTGTGAAGACCGCTCAGTGGGGAAAGTGCTTGTTGTGTAGGGGTAAGGGCGGAGTTTAGGGGCCAGGAGGCAGGGGTGGGATTCCTGGAGCAAGCTGCACCCTGACACACACACATTTTTGGTGGCCTTGTAGAGAAAAATTTTTTTCTTCTGTTTTTTCTTTTTTGAGATAGGGTTTCTCTGTAGCTTTGTAGCCTATCCTGAAACTCACTCAGCCTGGCCTTGAACTCACAAGATCTGTCTGTCTCTGGGATTAAAGGCGTGTGCCACCAGCTAAGAAAAAGTAAATGTCGTGTGTATGGGTGTTTTGTCTGCACGTATGTCCACCTATAGCATACGTGCCTGGTGCCCTCGGAGGCCAAAAGAGGGCATGCTAATCTCCTCACAGACCATTTCCATATTCTCCTGACTGGTATTGTGACCCTCTGTGTGGGTGCTGGGAATCTAATCTGGATGCTCTGAGAGAGCAGCCAGTGTACTCTTAACTGATGAAGCATCTCTGCAGTGTTATGGTGGCTATTTTTGCATCTCTGACTAGAGATCACCCTCAACCACTGCACCACACAGTGTGGGGGTCAGGAGGGTCAGAGGTCATGTGTGTAAAGCATCATCTAAACTGGTGAAATGGCTCTGTGGGTAAAGGCACTTGTTGTCAGACCTGTCACCCACCAGTCTGAGGCCAACCTGGGCCATGTGAGATTGTTTCAGAAAAAACCTAACCACCAGCTGCCCCTGGGTGACAGCCTGCCTGAGTACATATGTGCCCCTCCCCCACTGATACTCCCTGCCTGTCTCCACAGGCCTATGTGTCCCAGTGGCCCTGGACACTGCTGCTCTTAGTGGTCAGCGGATTCTGCAACTTTGCACAGAATGTCATCGCTTTTAGCATCCTCAATCTCATCAGTCCACTCAGCTACTCGGTGGCTAACGCCACCAAGAGGATCATGGTCATCACCGTGTCCCTCATCATGCTGCGCAATCCAGTGACCAGCACCAATGTGCTGGGCATGATGACTGCTATCCTTGGCGTCTTTCTGTACAACAAGGTGAGCTCCCCCCCAAGCCAGGCACAGCCTAGGGGAGGGACAAGGAGCCGAAGGCGGGTGGGGTGGGTGGGGCGGGTGGTTCTGGCTCTGGTGGGTTCTGTGTGCCGAGCAGAATGTGGCAGCAGGGTTGTGTGCACAAGCTACCCCAGAGCTCACTTCTCCTGCCCCTGTCCCTGAGCTGAGGTCGCACCTACTGAGCCTTCCTCTGTCTTCTTTGTTTTAATGTAGTTACTCTTATTTTATGTACATTAGTGTTTTGCCTGCATATGTGTCTGTGTGAGGGTGTCAAATCTTGGAGTTACAGACAGTTGTGAGCTGCCATGTGGGTGCCGGGAATTGAACCCTGGTCCTCTGGAAGAGCTCCTAATGGCTGAGCCATCTCCCAGCCCCTTTTGCGTCTTATTATTTGTTTTGGAGCAGTGGCTTGTGTAGCCCAGAAAGGCTTCTGACCCCCCCTGCCTGCACCTCCTGAGGGAGTGGAGTGACGGCTTCTGCCTGGCTTATGCAGTGCTGGGAATGGACGCAGGGCTTTGCATGCTGGACAAGCACCTACCACAGAAGCATCCCTAGTCCTTGGCTTTGGGGTGGCCTCTTTTTTTGTTTTGTTTCAGTTTGATTTTTTTGAAACAGAACATCATGTGGCTCAAATTAGGCTCAGACTCACTATGTAGCATACGCTGGCCTAGCATTCCTGCCTTCCTGCCTCTGCGTCCTTAGTGCTGGGCTGACATGCCTTCACACACACCCAAAGTTCCCTCGTGCCTCTTCGCTCTCTTCACACAGACCAAGTATGATGCAAACCAGCAGGCTCGGCGCCACCTCCTCCCTGTGTCTACATCAGACCTGAGCAGCAGAGAGCACCTGCGGAGCCCAATGGAGAAGCCCCACAATGGTGCATTGTTTCCCCAGCAAGGTGACTTCCAGTACCGCAACATTCTCCTCACAGACCATTTCCAGTATGGCCGCCAGAGCCATCTGAACTCCTATGCCCTCAGCCGCCATGATGTGTAGGGGCCCACCAGGCCAGGCTTCCTGCACCACCTCCCCAAGCCCAGCAGCTGAGCACATGGCAAGCCAGCAGGGGAGCCCTGGATCCTGATGGACTGTGGCATGTGACCACAGCATGGACAGCCACAGGCACTGGGCAGAGGGAGAGCCACAGAGAAATCCTGGTTCACGCTTCTGCTCAGAGGCCACACTCTGCATTGGTACACAGGGGTGCCCCCAGTACACTGCAGAGGCCTGATCTGAACTTCTGATGACAACAGGGACCCACTCTGCAGAACTGGCATCGCTGTGGCTGCAGTCCTGGAAGCCAGCAGGAGGTGGGATCTGGGCCGTCAAGGAGAGGACAGCAGGGCTGTAGCCCAGAGGTATGGAGAGGGCTGACACAGGTACCATTACCTGTCCCCAGCAAGAGCTCCAGGATGCTCCAAGGCAGTTTGCTACTTGCAGCTAGTGCTGACCTGGGGCAAGCCTACAGTGACCATCGGTTCATCAGCCACTGGTGTGACTTTCTTCTGCCTTGTGGGTACCAGAGCAGGCCACACCCCTCCACTCCAAACCTGGCTAGTGTTAACCTTGGTTGTAGCTCTACCTTTCTGATGCCACAGAAGGCCCAGTAATGGTGATGGCAGTATCCCCAGGACCTCGAGTTTCTCTGGGGAGCATCTTATTGGCTGGGGGAGCTTTGGAGTCTAGGTACTAACAAGTACTGCACCAGGGCTAGCCAGTGGGTGGAAACCATCTTGACTTGTTTCCAAAATACAAGACATTTGTTGCTAGAGCAGTCCCTTGTAGGCAATGCTGAAGGGTCCTGAAGCCGCAGCCAGAATAGCAGAAGGTGGAATTCACACTCCAAATACAGCGTTGCTTGTCAGTGAGGAGATGGCATGTGGGTCAGCATCTGGACTGTGTCCCAGTGATGGGACAGCAGGCAAGTCTTAGTTTTTTAGTTAAGGGTTGGTAGAGTGCCTGTGTCACTGTCAGTGGCTTCTGTCCCCAGCATCACAGAAAGTAACATAGTGGTGCGTCCTGCTCCAAGCACTTTGGAAGCAAGGTCAGGTCCTCAGCTTTATTGTGTGTAGCCCAGACCAACCTGGGCTACATGAGAACCTATCTCAAGAGAAAGATCAGTTTTACAAACCTGACATCATGGTACACATCCAGGGGCTGAGCCAGGAGAATGGCCATGAGTCTGAAACCAATCTGGGCTACATAATGAGGCTGTCTCAAAAACAAAAGTTTGGGGGCGCATCCTCCTGGCCTACACCTATGGTCCTAGCTACACAGGAAGCCAAAGCAAGAGACGCTCCCAAGCCTGTGAGTTCAAGGCCAATGTGGCAACACAAGGAGAACCTGTTGGTAAGCAGAAGTGTGGGTTCTGGTGTGGCACGGCAAGTAAATGGTAGGACCCAAGGGTTATGACATGTCTTCTTGGCAGTCAGGGGCATTAGCTTGGGTTATCTATGATTTGAGGGTTTGTTTGTTTGTTTGTTTGTTTGTTTGTTCTTGAGACAGGGTCTCAACAATATAGACCATGCTGGTCTCAAATTCATAAATCTACCTGTCCCTGCCTTCTGTGTGCTGGGATTAAAAACATGTACTGCCACGCCAACCTGGAAACATCGTCACTAAGGCCCCCAGAGTGAACTTGAGCTCTTAGTATTCCTCGTGTCTCTGTCTCCATCTCCAAGCACTGAGCTTACAAGTGTGTCATGGCGCTCCAGTTCTTAACTCCTCGTTTGCTGGGTCCCTCTGCTTTGATTAATTGGAATTTTGTGTCTAAGGTTAAGTTCAGTGGCAATGCCAGCCTTGGGCTGCTTGCCGGTTTGCAGATGTTCAGAGCCCACCGTGGCAGCAGGAAGGAGCACCTCGGTAAGGTGGTCTGCTGGGTTTTCTTCACGGGGGAAGACACTGAGACACCTGGCACTACAGAGGTCTCTGCGTGTCCCTAGCTGTGCTGAACTCAGAATGAATTATGTCTTTTTGGATTTCTATGATGTTGCTGTAATATGTATATTAATGCATTTTTCCTTTTCCAATGTGAGGTTTGCCAGGGAGGGAAAGGCCCACTTTTCTTACGGTTTATAAATTAATAAATGGGATATTTAATTCTGTTCATAGGCTCGCAGCAGGTGCGAACCCTGAAATGGATGAGACAATCAGGTAGACCAGATGGCTGCTGCACAAAGCCCTGGGCTTCATCCTCAGCGCCACGTAAACAGGTGGTGGTACCCAGCAATCAGAAGGCTGAGGCAGCAAAGAGCAGGAGTTTATGGTCATCTCTAGCTACTCAGAGTTTGAGATCAGCCTGGGCTACATGAGACAAAACAGACTTGATGGTCCAGTTTACCTTGTCCCACTTAAAGTCTTATTAGCCCTCTGTCTCGCCCCCCCACCATGTTCACCTCTCCAGTTCTGCCTCACCCCACTTCTCTCTTGGGGTTCACATTAGAGAGTTTAGGTTGCTGTCTCCATATACCCTTTGAAATGGCCTGGCTAAGACACTTATGCTGACCCACCCAACTCCAACTCCTTCGTTTTGCAGAAGGGGAAATGGGCTTAGAATAGTTTAGAATGTCTGTTCACTATTAGAATTCTTGGGGTGGGGCTTTAGTTATTTACATTTCTTTGAGATGGTATCTGCCTGTGTAGCCCAGGCTGGCTGGGGATAGGAGGCGGCCCTCCAGCCTTGGTGCAGAGGTGAAGGACTGCCACACCAGCACCTTGTTTTATACCATTTATCCTGGGCAGGGGGTGAGCCAGAGGTAGTGATGTACTTGAGACTCAGTCTCCCTGTGTGGGAAGACTCTGGGCAGTTAGCTTCTCAAAGCCAGCCTCCTCGCTCCAAAACAAACCCAGGGTCTGAAATGGGAAACTCATGCTCGTTTTCCATTGTCATCATCCTGAGGCTCTCGTCAGACTGTTCTGTGGGAATAGCTGTGTTCTTGGTTGGCATTCACCAAAAATAAACGATGGTCTCCAGGGTTTGAGATTTGCTCTGGTTTGTCAGGGAGGTCTCTCCTTTTGCTCCCAGCAGCACAACGTGCAAGGAGACTGAAAAGCTAAGGCAGGGAGATGGCTTGAGCAACCCTTGCCTGGCGGGTATGGAAACCAGAATTGGGACTGCAGCCCCAGCTGCCATCGAAGTGCAGGGAGGTGGAGCGGGGATGGCAGGAGCAAGCTGGCTGCGCCAGAGGAGAGGTCCTGCCTCATACATGGGGTGGAGGGACCAGTGAGACGGCTAAGTGAAGGTGACTGCTGCCAAACCTTGGCAAGAAGTTCCATTTCTGGGACCCACATGGTAGGAGAGAACGGATTCCTTCGAGCTGCCTGACTCCCTCCCACACCCACACAGAAATATTCTGAATACTTTAAAATTTACGAGTGTGTATAGAGCAGTTACCGAAAACACCTGATGTCAACTTCCAGCCTTAGCATGCAAATGCATATGCAGACCCCTATATACAGGGGCACCTATACACGCAAGCACATACACAAACATATGTAAGGCAAAAAAAATTCTGCCTGTCTTTCATGCCTGGATGTCCAACAAGTCATGAGTGTTCGTGCATGTATGCATGTGTGTGTAAACTTACCATGACTGAGACTGGCTTAAATGTTCAATTTTCTCACCAAGGCTCCCTGAGAACCTCTATGGCTTCAACCAGCTGATGATGCTTCAGGATTCAGTTCCTGCAGGAACCCAGGTCCAGCCACACTCCTTAAGGAGTCAGGGACTTGTTTCCTTAGCTATTCTCCTTTGGTTGTTTTGAGACAGGGTCTCACTCTGCAGCCCAGGTTGACCCCAAATTCCTCAGCCTCAGGGTGAGTGGCAAATGTACTGTATACTTGCCACCTGGGCCAGCAAGCCCCATGGTTCCTGCCTCTACCTCCCCAGCATGAGGACTATAAATGCACCTGCCACCCCCCATGGCTTTTTATGTGGGTGCTGGTTTGAACTCGGGTCTCCATGTCTTTGTAGCAAGCACTCTACCCACTGAGCCAGCCCCATAGATACAAACAGTGGGGGGATGGCTACCTGTATGTGAGTGTAGAGGCCAGATGTCCTTTATCCTCAGGTGTCCTTTATCAGTCTCCATCTTATCTATGGGGCAGGGCCATTTACTGAACTTGGCACTCACTAATTGGCTAGACTGGTTAGGCAGCAAGCATCAGGGACCCTCCTGTCTCTGGTGATGGGATTCCAGCTATGTGCCACCACACCCAGCTGTTGCCAGGGATCACTCCAGGCTAAATGCTTGTGCAGCAACACTTCACTGACGCTGCCATCTCCTGGGCCTATTTTTAAGTTTGAAAAGAAGTTTTTAAAAACAACTAGCTGGGGTCGGTGGTGTGTGTGTGCATGCCTTTGATCCCAGCAATCTGGAGGCAGAGGCAGGCGGATCTCTGAGTTTGAAGCCAGCCTGGTCTATAGAGTGAGTTCCAGGCCAGATAGAACTGTTTTACAGAGAAACCCTGTCTTGAAAATAACTAAGTAAATAAAAATGAGGTAGACCCCTGCACACAGCAGACAGTTTCCGGTCCATCAGGAAGCTCAAGGTTATCCCTGGCTAATTTGAGGCCAGAACTTCATGAGGCCATGTCTTAACTCTCATGAGAACATAGTTTTGTGACTTGTTTCTTTTGAAAGTAATAATCCAAAGATAGTGTATTACTAAATATCCTCCCTCAGTTCTATCTATGTGCAGTGCTTTGTAGTTTTCCAAGAGACAGACATCCCATTGGTCACCAGCTGGGCTGCTGGCTCTTAGAGTCCAGAATTCTTGGCGTATGGTTAGTGTAGCCAGTGCTCAAGCTGAGGATAGTCCCTGTACCAGTGTGTGTAGTTTCAGTTTCCTGGCCCAATCTGGTTTCTGTTGCTGTAACAGATTACCCAACACCGGGAGGTTGGTAAATCATGGTTTGGCTCATGTGCTGGGACTAGGGAGCCCCGGGGTGAAGTTCTGTGTTCATAGCTTCCTGCAGCAAGCACCATGAGAGAGACTTCCCCACAGGTCTCTCTTCCCCAGCCTGCCTGGGATTCGCAGCAGTCCTCCTGCCTCAGCCTGGGATGACAGGTGTGGTTTGTCATGCTTGGTGCTCTTCTCTTCTGTTTGAGGCATCTGGAATCCAGGCTAGCCTCAATCTCCTGCCTCCACCCTCGAGTGTTGGATTTTTTTCTCCTGCAGAGCACACACAACTCTTCCCTCAAAATATAGGGATAGGTTGTTTCCAACCTATGAAATGAGGGGTAGCCTGTTTGCACCATAACTGGATGGTGGGGCTCCCCTCATTGAGGGATGCTTTGAGAGACAGGAATGTGGGGTCCAGCTTGCTTCTCTTCAGTTGAGGCAACGATGCAGCCACAGTGGGCACGGTTTCCTAGCCAGTTGTCCATGAAGACCATCCTCAGTTTCATCCTAGGCATCCTGGGCCCATCCCAGCTCATTCTAGATGCACAAGAGCTCACAGCAGCTACCAGACCACTACATCCATCCATTCAGGATAGGCTCTCATAGTGTCCAGGCTAGCTCTTGGTAATCCTCGTTTCTTTACAGCATGTAACAGGGCAATAGTGGTTTAGATTGACATCTTGTTAACAGTAAGAAATACAACCTCTGCTGGGTTGTCAGCAAAGTAACACTCACAGGGACAGAGTGAGCTGACTCAAGGCGTGGTGGACAGGGATGAATGTGCTCACCCAGAGGGTATGGGGCGGGGCTAGTTGTTGCTCCATAGGGTTCTGTGATAACGTCTGTGCACACTACGTCCACAAACACATGAAGAGGATACAGGATGTTAGGGTCCTGATGTGACCCAGGAGAGTGGACAATGTCACTGCCCTGAACCATCAGTTCCCTTGCAGGTCAAGACAATAAGATGAGGGTTAGGGCAGCCTGTGTGCTGGAAGCCCCGACATGACTATCATGTTCTTTGAGGATTACAGGCCTGTGCTTTTGTCTAGCTTTTACCATTATAATATTTTTATGTATTATTATTGGTATTTTGCATGTATGTATGTCTGTGTGAGGCTGCTGGATCCTGGAGTTACAGACAGTTGTGAGGTGCCATGTAGGTACTGGAAATTGAACCCAAGTCTTCTACAAGTGCTTGTAACGGCTGAGCTATCTCTTCAGCCCATTGTCTGGCTTTTACACTGAGTTTTTGGACCTTAACCCAGGTCATCTTGCTCCAGAGTCAAGCACATTACCACCAAGTGATCTCTACAGCTCCAAGATCAGGACATCATAAGGGTTTTCACAGCAGACAAGACAGATTCTTCTAGAAGGGCACAGGGAATCTCAGAACTTTCAGGACCCCTGGCACACTCAACTGCATCTTTCCTCCTCTTATAAAATCTTGGCGTGAGCCGGGCGTTGGTAGCGCACGCCTTTAATCCCAGCACGCGGGAGGCAGAGGCAGGCGGATCTCTGTGAGTTCGAGACCAGGCTCTGTAGACCAGGCGACTTGAACTGCCTGCCTCGACTCTGCCTCGTAAGTGGCGTGGCAAACTAAGATACATTTTTTTCTTTTTTAAAGCCATTAATATAGCTCAGTGCTTGCCAACACCCCATAACCCCGATGCACGCCTGTGATCGTAGCACTCAAGCTACAAGATCACGCCAACTTCCTGAGACCCAATCTCCAAAAAGCAGAAGTAAATAACAAAATATGGCCGCACACCTTTAATCCCAGCACTCGGAGGCGGAGGCAGGTGGATCTCTGTGGGTTCGAGGCCAGCCTGGTCTACAGAGCGAGTTCCAGGACAAGCTCCAAAGCCGCAGAGAAACCCTGTCTCGAAAAAAGAAATAAAAAAATAAAATACGTAAACAAAGGGGCTGGCTGTCCACGGCTGCTTCCAGTTCTGTTTCCCTGGGTCACACGAGTCTGCAGTCGCCAGGACACACGTCGTTGCTCTACTTCTGAGGCTGATACTGGGGAGCTGGGCGCCCCCAAGTGCAAAACTCTTACCCGAAAGACACAGATCGGAACGGAAGGACCCGAGCCGGGTCGTGTGATCCGCCAAGTCTGCACCACGCAGGAGGCTGCGAAGGACGCAGAGGCTCGGACGCTCCCGCAAGGACGCAGGAGAACAAACGACAGCCGGCGCCGCTCCACCGCGTCGCGCCTGCGCCAAGAAGCTCCCACGCATGCGCCTCGCTAGCCCTCCCGCGCGTGATCCCTCACGCAGCCTCTTCCCGCCCTCCTCCAGTCCTCACTTCCGGGGTTTCCTAGCGACGGCCGTAAGTGGCGCGCTGCAGCGGCCCGCGAGGTCGTCGTAAACGTCTCCCTTCGCGCCACTTCCGGCCGGCTTCTGCGGCCGGTGCTGGTGGGCGATCGTGAGGCTCCGGAGGACGTTCCCAGCGGCTGCAGCCATGGAGATGCCGCTGCCGCCAGACGGTGAGGCCCATACCTGAGCGGAGGTCGTTAGGTTCTCCCCGCGTGCCCCCGCCGGCCGGCCGTGCCTCTCCGAGTTCCCGGGCCAGAGACGAAGCGCGCCGCGGCCTCGCCGCTCCTCCCGCGGCCTCCCCCGTGGGTCCCCGCATTCCAGCGCGCGCTTGGCCCCACTCAGGACCCGTACACCGCCGCCTCGCCGCGGCCCGCCCCAGAGGACCCCGGCCCGGTCCCCGGGCTCGGGCTGCTCCCATTGACGCCTTTTCCTCCGTCCTGCAGACCAGGAGCTTCGAAATGTCATCGACAAGCTCGCTCAGTTCGTGGCTCGCAACGGGCCCGAGTTCGAGAAAATGACGATGGAGAAGCAGAAAGACAACCCGAAATTCTCGTTTCTGTTCGGAGGCGAGTTCTACAGTTACTACAAGTGCAAGCTGGCTCTGGAACAGCAGCAGCGTGAGTCTCCCCCGCCCCCGGCCGCCCTGGATCCAGTGTGGCCCCGCCGCAGCCTCTTTCTTTGGGGTCGCGTGTTGTGTCCTCTGCGAAGCCTGTTCTTTCTGTCGTCCCCGGGGCCCTGCACCGAGATAGATTGT